AAACAGCGGCATATCAATTGTGAGATTCCTTGGCTCGAGGGACTCTGATTTTCCCAATAAAGTTCACGTGAATTTCTCTGTTATTAACTTCATGCTGGCAACGGTCAGTTTAGTGGAAAATGACGACATTGTCCCTTTGGCGTGATAGTTTAATTTACTTCAAGACTGTCATCAACAGTGAAGTTTATGACCAGGATCTCGTTGACGGCTATCGAAGACGACTTCAATTTTAGTGAAAAAGAGGAAAATCTGGAATAAGGTATCCTATATTTTTATCGCGTACACAAAACCAAATAACTTAAAGATGGCTCCCAACACCTTTTGTGCTCTATAAAATGTTGTTCGCCATACAAAAATCTGCAACCGGAATGGTTTCAACCACTGTGCATTCTTCCAGATGGTCTGACCGGTAGGATAACATAACTGGAAAATCCCCAATCATATATGAATCAGGAAAGTTTCCTGACGAAGTTCGAACTCTTAGATCTCGAAGAGTACCAAGGAAAGTCTTGCCCATTATCGACAAGTTGGACGCCGAAAAATAACCGATAGAGTGGATTTGGCTGGCTCCCCGAAATCCAGAACGTTTGTCTTCACTGGAACTCAATGAATGAGGGTTTTAATCGGCAGTATAGGTTAAACACTGGTCACTAGTTTAAGGCTGCCACCTACCAGATTAGGAACCCCCCGACCAGTTTGCGCCACAGATGAATTTGATTTGGGCGTAGGTCTTGATGACCAGCTTTCGACGATATGACTAGTGGAAATTGCTGACGTGGCATCTACCACAAAACTACTCCTCTGCACTAGTTTTCGTCGGTTTTACTCGGGCTTTCTTATAGACCGATCTACCATTTGCCGACGGAGAATCCATTTCACCCATATATAACCACACACGACAAATAATTGTCATATCATATCATCGGGTTTAATATACGGCCAATACGGAACTCGACGCTTTGGATCAATGTTCCATTTTTACTAAGTATTCACGTCCAGCAACTAGGTGTGAATAATTCCTTCGGTTACAGGAAGGGATCTCAACGAAGCTTTATTTGCCTNTCGGTTTTACTCGGGCTTTCTTATAGACCGATCTACCATATGCCAACGGAGAATCCATTTCGCCCATATATAACCACACACGATAAATAATTGTCATATCAAATCATCGGGTTTAATATACGGCCAATACGAAACTCGACGCTTTGGATCAACGTTCCATTTTTACTAATTATTCACGTCCGACAACTAAGTGTGAATAATTCCTTCGGTTACAAAAAGGGATCTCAACGAAGCTTTATTTGCCTTCTTCCACTGGATGTGGGTATCTGGTGCGGCTGGGGAGCGATAACGCACAGCTGATCAACTGCGCTGACGTAAATAAGGTTGCTCTCTATCGCGGTCTTTACGCATGGGTCTACTGAAACATCAGAACGTTCCCGATTTAAAGAATGCAAGAGTTTTTAGCAGGGATCCGATCATTAAGAACCTCTGCAATTGAGCAGCAGTACCTGTTTTGAGAAGTAGAACCAAGCTCTCAGTACCTTTAACTAACGAGCTCTTCAGATATGCTGTTGTTTGCAAAGGCGACAATTCAAGTTTTCACAAACCGAATGGAGAGTTAACACAAAGAGAGATACATTATGTGCCTAGAAGCAATGCACAGTCTTGATGGGATCTTGGGAGAGATGGGAGGGTTGCACATTTCTTCACTGATACAGAGGATCAGATGTGTCCTCAGATTTGTTTGACTGATCTCCTGTATGTTGCGATTCAGCCAGCGTCCAGGTATTCTTACAATACTGTTATAAAATGAGCATCCTTCTCAAATGTGACTGGTTTAGTCTGTCGAGTCTCTGCAGATATTTAGGACGAATCCAACGTGGCGAAATCCAGTGAAGTATGCCAATGTTAGATATATAATCGTTCTTCACTTGTAAAAAATAAGTACCATCTGACAGAATAAATAGGTGGTCAAGGAATTTTAAGGGAAACCGCACATTTTCCTCAGACATTTGCTGCTCACTTCCAAAGTTGGAATCGACAGGCATGATCGAACTGGTTATGCAGTCACATGAAGTGTCACTGACCCGTCAGTGCAGTCTGTTTCGACTGAAGTAGGAACATGAAACGGCCTGTAGTGAGTAGACGTGAAAGTACACTTGGAACGGTGTGCTATTTCTCATCAGCCTCGGAGTGTGCCGTGAAGTGAGCATACTCTCCCCTTAGTGTAAACTCTCATAAGATGCTTTGCAAGGGTCAGTCAACTTGGAAAAATTAATGCCCGATTAGTTTGAGATCCGGATTTCTATTATCCCATTAATTACTCGGAAGCACATCAAGCATGCAGAGTGCAGATTTGATATGTCCAGTGATCGTGCTTTGCACAAAAAGCCACGTGTCTGCATGCATCCACCTTTCACACCCCACCAGTAATACAGCAAATTAGGGGCGATCCACCACGATCTAGTTTACTAGTGCCAAAAGTGAATTTGAACACCAAAAGTTTAGCGTCGTGAGACCTCTCTGAGTTCAGATCTGGTCCCACAACCAACAGGAGGCGTCTGTTTTGATGAGCGGCATGTCATTCAACCCTTTCCCAAAACAAATATAAATCCTGATTCCTTACCAAGTTAATCCTACTGCGGGGGCTTATAGCACCAGATTATTAGACATACCATCTTATGCACTGTACAAACGTAAGTTATCATAAAGGGGTGTGGTGCTGAATCTTCATAGGCGTTAAATAAACGGGTGCTATCAAAGTTACCGTAAGAATGAGCTATGTGTCTATCTAAAATAGCGTTGTTTTTCTGCTTTGACTTTCTGCTGTGCACCTCAAGAACAGGCCTCTGAAAGGAGAAATCGAACCAAAAGACCCAGTGCGAATTTTCACACGTATAGCGGTTTACTACTTACGTGAACAGATTGTGGTCACCCTTTGTGAACTCCTTCAACCACCACACGCCAGTTGTGCCGGCGGACGACCAAGCAATTTATGCGCAACTGGTCGCCGCATTGTTATGTTCACGTGATATATACTGATATATACTGATATATACTGCATTGGCAGTTTGGGACGTCTTTTTATCTGATGAACTCTGTCACGAAGCATCCATGATATATCAGTAAGCAGACAATCAGTAACACGGCTGTATACACTAACGTAGTATTCACTTGATCGAAGCCCGAGTGGATAGATAAAGGCACGGACCATTATTGACAGTAGAACACTTCAGTTTCCGACGTACCTACCCAGGAAGGACAAAACCGGTCGTGGACCCAGTCTTCAGCAACCTTGTGAGTTGTCTATATAATGTAATGCGACGTCTCAAATATCGTACTAACTGAAACACGAGGCGGGCTGTTGCAGTATATTCAGTTGAAGAAGGCCATCATACGCGAGGGATTCAGCCGGGTTCCAGGTGAGTTTCCCTTCAAAACCAAAGCATTTTGCAGGTGAGTGGATTAGCAGAACTAGATCTCCATAAGTGAATACTTCTGCATCTGCAGTTTATGATGCCCTATAAGAAATGACTCTTCTAAGGTAATAGTTATGTACCGATTAACCCCTCATTATTTAGTACTGCCAGTTACTTGCTTGAGTAATAACAATTGGTTCGTACACATGGCGCATCGCAAAAGATATGTGACTGTGTCCACAGTGCGCTCCAGGTACAACGGAATCTAACAATCGCGTCATTATCGTTTGGTGGATTATCCTTCTGTGCTAGTGCAGTTATTCTAGTGATCCTACCAAGTTTAAAACTTCTATGGTACAGCCTGAATGGTGATTACTGACAGGCATGTCAGTCGATACAACGAGAACAGTTATCGGGACGCCATTAGGGGCCTTAAGAAAACCATCCACATCACTCAAAAGTTACCACGTTCAACTGTACAGACGTGATAATTCCGGTGCGTCTTGCATGCTCTGTTGGAATGGTCGTAACATGAACTCCTCACATGTCAGATATGCGGGTTCAACTCCTGTCACGGAGCTCCCTGATGCGCTACTGATGAGCTCTAATAAGAACTCAATAGTGTCCAATACTTCGTGTCCCTGATGGGAACTCACCAGAATAATTGGTCCAGGACAAGATGGAAACAGTCCAAAGGCGGGTGGATTTAATGCACAATTCTGCAAATCCTACAACTAAAGACGAAATCAAGCACTTTTGGAAAAGCCGAGCCTCACTGGTTACAGGATTAGTCGCAGTCATTTGAGGGCGTACACAAAACAGAACCTGTAGGATCACGCCGGAGACATTACCAATTCGCGCACAGTCCTGAAAAGATAGAAGCGATGTAGAATCCATCGGTTCCACAGATGTCAGTGATACACTCGTAATACTCACTGACTTTAAGGCAGTTAAACAATTAGTGTGCAATGACAATGCGCGTCGTTGAAAATGATGACCATGCACAGCTTAGCTGGACCTCATGCCTGGTGACGCGTATAGGAATCTGCTGTTATGAGCCCCGCTTGTAACAAGTAGTGTGTTGAAAGGCAGTAGTGGCCTTCAAAAGACCGGGTCCAGTATTCTTCGTAGGAAAATGTTGAGCTAATATCGATGTGTCAGGCTGAATATAGGAACTGTTCTGGATGCTAGCTGTCGAAAAATCTTCAAAAAGTAAATACCTCTAACCGATAATTTGCAAAATCGATAGATTTACTTCCTGTAGATGTGCGCCTTATTAAGTCAGTTAATCGTAGAATAAATGAATTGACAGCTTTTGAATAGTTGAACCAGTGAGCATGAAATCCTAGAATTAGAGGAATCCATTACTGTTCTCCTGATAGACCTCACCTACTGAAGGGGTTGGTTTTAAAGATCCATCTAACTTTTAACAGTGAGGGGAACTGAAGAATCAGTGCTACATACAACCGGCATGATTTGTAGTCATTGGCAATGCTTATGAAGTGTCTGTAAGTTCATCTTAAGATAATAAGATAAGATAATTGTTTAGCTGTGCGACCCAATCGGTGCCTAGCTGCCATGCCACCAAAAGGAAGCACGAGGACTGGGATAATACCAGATTGCCCAAACCTAAAGAAAGGAAGTCGAGAGGCGGAGGTCGGGTTCGAATCACGGACCTTCCGGTTTAACCACTGAGCCAGTGAGTTTAGCTTGCCTAAATTCTGTCAACTGGTGTACATCAGCTGTGCCACAAGAACTTATAACCCGTTATATACAGTCCGCTTTCGCGATTTTATTTGCTAAATTGTCAGCTATTCTTGCTCACGACTCACGCGCCGTTGTGCTCTGGATTCCTCGTCTCCGGAGTTCATATGCTGAGAACGGAACTTCGGTGGAGGAGGAACAACTATCTAAGCATCGGAATTCAAAACTTTGGGCAATGGTTGAAACCACCCGTCATTCGTCGGGATTCTTACCATTTTAACCCGAGAGGAGGAATACAAGTAGACTTTCAGTCAGGTGGGAAATACTTGGGACCGACTGAATAATCTTCGTTATTGAAAAAGTTTGGTGATAGTCGTTTCCCAGCAATGAATCTACCGGTTGTCCCCAAACTTGTTCGACAAATAGACTTTCTTCAGCTCCCGCTATCTCACAATGACACTTCCTCTACTGGATATGGATTTTTCCGTTATGTTGTCGGAGTACTTTGGTTTTTCTGGATCTGGTTTAACTGGATCCAACTTCTCTAACTTTGCCTCCTGAACGGGCATAAAATGGTGTACTGCTGGTTGGAAGTGTGTAAACAGCGCGTTTGAACTGGCTGGTTTTTGAAAAGAAACCCAGAAAAAATCATCCTGGCCGTATGGTCTTTTTAGCTACCTTTTCTGGGAACTGTCCATAAGCTACTAATAAGAGAAACCAGGCGCAATAATACTGTGAGTTGTGAAGTCTCTATTTAATATCAAGCACAAATTAAATCGAATAGAGATCACCGAACAGTATTTCCACTATAAAATATTTAGGAAAAGGTTACCCTCTTCCGTTTTGCATACGAATAACTGTGTCCAGTTATGGAACGTGATTCAAGAATGAACTTTCCTGTTTGCTGGTTGAACCACTTTTCTTTCCGTCTTTTCTTGATGGAGAAGACATCATTGTTTGTTCCATGGTTCCTATTATTGAGACAGTGCCTCCCCTTCACTGTACTTCTCTACATGCTGTTTTCGCTTATTTCTGTTCAATTTCAGTGGACAATGCCTTGTCGTTTTCCGGTAGCTCATGTGTTTTGGTCATTATGCTCACACTTACTTCACGATGGGGTTCCAATGTTGGACACCCCTGTCAAAGTACCCATTAATTTTATACCTTTTTGCGTCAAACATTCGCGGATACTTCTGGGTCATTGTAATGCGAGATTATGCCTAGTGTCGCTCTTGGGCTCGTTCGGATCCGAATCGGACAAAAAGCGGCGCTCATAAAACTATAGTTTTCAATTACAATTTCGATTCATCTGTTGTTTTCGATCCACCGATTTCCTTAACATTGGTAGAAAGAGAGTGGCAGGGTTGTTTCCATAGATATTAATCCCACAATTTTCACAACGAAAGGGATAAACACTATGTGCTAAATCAGGATTCCGGTGCGGTAAATGCATTCATTTGTATACCAATCGGTTTTCATGGGAGACATTCAAAATATGACAAGACTTTGTTCAGGCCTTATAAGACACGACTCATGCGGTTGCTGTTTCACATGCATGCAAACAAAGTACACGTCTGTAAGTACAGGGTGAGAATTAAGAAGGGTATATTTGGCTCACTCATTCTGGGTCAAAAGCACACCAAAACCTCAAGAAAGGTCCAGCAAATCAAATTAATTGAATTCCCTTCCGCAGTCCCAGTCACCCATTTTGGCCAATATCGTACCGCCCGGAAGGAAAAACTCTAAATTATGTTCTTGCCCAGTCATACTCCAAAACGACTCAATATGAACTCCAAAAACGAAGTAAGATTGAAGAAAATAATCGATGAGCCATAAATCGAGCGATCATTTATTTTAGGATGTAAAGTTTAACAGTTATTTTCGAATGGAGTTCGAAGGGGTCGTATGAATGGGGGCATTTTGAGATTTTGGGTGAAGATTCTCATCACTTCACAGTTGATGTGGTAGATGAAACTCTCCGACGTTTCGACAACTGAGGTGCGTTTTGTCAACGGAATAATCACTAACAGCATCAAATTTCAAAAGCGGTAACACGACACATTTTTATCACGGATTTGTTAGATGAATAGTTTTTTCGACTCTCAAAATCTTTTGTAGCTCTGTCGGTTTCGCTGTAGAACGGGAGACATCCAGAAGAACGACAGCTTCTTCTAGGGAATATTACCCACCAGTCCACTACAAAACGGCTACCTAGACTTTAACTGCGCAGGTTGATTGACGTTTAACGCACTTGTACATCGAGCGAACAAGATCTACGGCAGCATAGTTTCGTTTGAAAATTATGATAGTTGGGCCCCTGAAGTTCTAAACTTATCAGGCTTACTTTGTATAAGCTTCCAACTGAGTAGCATGGGAATGTCGGGCGCGAAGGTAACAGGACCGAACCACCCAGGATATGTGGATAAGTACACCTGAGAGGTCAGCAAACAAAATTCCTGACAACGACATATGCTGGCACCGCTGGTGTTCATCAGTGGACGGAATATTGGAAAGGTGAACTCCCTATCATACACCCACTCACTTTACAAGTACTACCGACGGATATAGATAGTATATCTTTCGATTCCCTTCTTCAGTAAGTGACACTTATCAGGAAAACGAAAATGCCTTTACCTCCCAGGTATTTTGAACACGCTTCAGAGTTTACATTCTGTATGAGTTAGGTTCTTTTAGCGTTTGCGAAAAGTTCGTTTCTACAGCCGTCTGAAATCAGATTTGGTCGATATTTTGAAACCAACTACCATGTTCTACTTCGTGGAAGCGCGGAACGGTTTGAACCGCAATTTATGGCTTCTGATGAGCGGCGAATTGATGGCAGAAATGATTTTTCGATAAGAGATCTTCTTAGTAAATATTGAAAATTACCTCGAGAGAGAGAGTTCGAACCCACGTCCTCTTCGGTATCATTCAAAAGGCTACTCGATATGCAGGTGCCACTGTTATTAGAAGTGTTCGTTAATTTGTTTTACTTTTGCAGTCAACGTAACAAGATCAGACGTGTAGTGGATATTGAATGTACGTGATCCACGAAGATTATCCACTAAAAAATGCACAATTTCGGCATTCACTTCCGTGCTAAAATCTATGGAGTTTTGCCTTCACACTATCCTATATGAATATCGTACAGTATCAAACCAGTCTCATCTTGTTTTCGGCATCACGCAAATAGACGCACATACACATCATTGATTGGCACGATGAAATGGAGGAACTGACGGTACACAGAAACCATGGGCCTACACATATTGATGTGTGGTTAGATTGTAACTGACCGCCAGGCTGAACGACTAGATATTTATCTACTAACCTCGTGTCTTTTTGCATATTGGTCTGACTGCTGATCTCCCTATGCTCTCAACACCCGCTTCACTGAGATGTCTTCACGTTGTAGGATGTTCAGAAAAAAACATCTGGTCGACTGGAGCCGGCATGAGCAGCCCCATGCCCGAGGGTGAAACATGCCACTTTTTTACCATTTACGATAATGTCGGTGTTTTGTCCGTCAAAATCATGCTCATTTGTCGTTAGTGCATAGGGGAGATTATTATCGATCCATTCGTTGTAGGGTGGTGGTACCACTTGCCAGCACATTACGCATGGTAATTGATTGTCTCTCTGGTGCGATTAGAAATTGAACGCACAGTAGTGTTTTTTTTACCATGCGTGCCGATCGGCTGCTCACATGGCACCCATATTCTGTTTAATGTGGATGGAAAACGACCCGATGTAGACAACAAATTTGACGCCGGTAAAGTAAGAACACGTTTCCTATTCGTTGAAAGCGGGGCGAGAAACAGCTTCTCTGTTAAAAAAAATCGCTAAGGACACCTTCAAGAACGACGTACCGAGCGGTGTTCATAAAATTCTGTCGTGCTTTTAGGTCCTGTTCCTGATGATGGACAACACGCGGACGGTGTTGGTTCAAAACTGCTTCAGTGGGGCGTGAGCTTAATGTATCACAAGTAGAAGTTTGCATTGAGGGTTTTGTCAAGTCTGAGTGGAGTAGATGAGTAGATGAAGTTTAGTGTGTACACAATATTATAATTCCTTGATTGTTGATTCGGTGTCAGTTGATCTGTTCGTAGAGCTGTACAGTTAACTTCGTCAGTGACGAGGAGGCATCATCAGTGCTCGAATGAACGTCGCATAAGCAATGCCCAGTTGACGCACCCAGAATTGGCAATAATCTGGAACATTTCCAAATAGTAAGCGCTGTTATGCTGTGTCAGCATCTATATCTTCGAGTGCCTAGTTTACTCAAATAAAACCATGATTTGAAAAAATAAGCCCTACCAAAATAATCAAAAATTTTCACTTTCTTGACTTGCATGTTCTTCGTAGTGTACTGCACAAAGAAGAGACATACATGCAGTTTCTTCTTCGAGCTGAGCCTTGCTCTGAAAACGTGCTTTTTTGAAAATGGAATTTCGGCTAAAAAATCGAGAAGCACTGTACATATGTTTCATTCTTATTTGGAATCTTCAGCAGTGTGTATCTTACGAAACTCTGGAGAGTCTCGAACTCGCGACCTTCCGGCTAGTGGTTTAAACAGTCAACCGTTCGGCCACGGTGGTTGGTCATCATTTTGACTAATTCTACTTATACATGCTATAAAGCCACTTATCCTTCAGTCACTGGTAACGCAACCCGTGGTCACATTTTTTGACTGGATCCTCGACTGACAACTTCTCAGATGGGAGTTTCCTTCGCGTGATGAAATTATTCCTCCTCTGAGCTACTTAAAATTTGATGATAGTGTTTGCCGCTTTGTAAGGGGTTGAGAGTGAAGTAGCGTGGTGGGGAAAAACTTCAATAAGTAATTTCATACAGATGAACTACTCACCGACTCAATGAATTCCACATCCTGCAAGATGAAATTCATCTATCTAAGAAAACATCTTGAAAAAGAAGGAGAGAATGAAAGCCCCGAAAAGTCCTAAGAGGAAACTGTTCAAGGTCTTCGAAATGGTTCACTTAGTTTAATGGTCTGCTATCGATATCATATGGCATAGTTCCGGGTTTACCGCCTTCAAACGGTGGGTCTTCTGAGCCCTGTCAACATACTATCCAAAACCTTTCAGTAATCTGACTCCACAGGACTGGAATTGAGACAGCCTTGTCAGCAACCCAGCCCAGGATATCTACATGATCTCAAACGCTAGAAAAAGTTACATGTAGAATAGGAACCGAAAGCCTTCTAATAATCATTTATTCATTGAGCATGCTGTAATAGCCACTGCCTTCATTTTATGCTTGAGTTTAGCTCTACAGATTAGGTGTTTTTGATGAACTGGATGACTGGAACTGATTCCCACTATGCAATTTCAGCAATCATACTGGTCACGGATATGCGAGTATAATAATTCAAACGCAGCATCCACTGGTGTCAGCGTGAAGAAATTCGTCACTCGCTGTTGAGAACTGTTGAGAACATCCACAACCAAAGAGTCCTATGAATGGCTAGTGCTGCTGAATGGAGGACTATTATGAATCATTTTGTGGCAATCTCGTATTATTATGAGCTACTTTCTAGTTGACGCAGAGCGCTCTTAAGCCTTGCCCAGAGAAGGGGACCCAATTAGAAAAGGCCTCTAAAATTTCACTCAAAAAACGTGGGGTTTCTGTCTGGTTATTGATCCAACTCACCAACCCACAAGTAAGGTCTTACTTTGGAGGGGCAGATAATCATCACCGGGGTTCGGTTCTTGGTGCGAATAGTGGTGTATTTCAGTCCTCATTATGAGCACAGTGTGCAGCAGATATGCACCACCAGGTATGCACCTAGATCTGCACTGGTGCTACCATGAGGATTACCACACTGAAACACCTTAGCGCAGCTTAGTCTATCGAATGTGTAAATTCTGATTGGATCCAGCAAAGTTTCATTAAGCCAACATAACTGTAGGGAATATAAAAACAATACGTCCAGGTTTTGTGCCTCGACTTGATATGACTGCGAGTGTCAACTAAAATGCTTAGTCAATAACAGCGGATGAAAGTGCCACAGTTTTCTGTCATAGTCCAAAGCATTCGAGTTCCATAAGCTGAACTCAAGCGATGTTATGAGACGACTGAACTAGAGTGGAAATTTGAAGAACACTGAAGAGACTACGAAAAGCATTCTCGGAAAATAGAGGAGGTTTTTTTCAAAACTTGGTGTCTTGTTGCTGTAAACGAACTAGCGAAAATATTCTTGCACGACGGAGTGGGAAAAACATTAGTGAAAGTAGCAGCAGTCATTTGTTCGTACTAGTGAGAGCCAGTTGTTTCAACGATCCCACACTAAAAGCAAAAACAAAGCGAGAAGTCCGTCAATATATTCGCCAGAAATACTGCAGGGAAAAAAGTGAAAACAAAGGATTAAAAACCGCAGACTAACAAACACGTTTGCGTACATGAATGTACACACACAAATATGTGTAGGTTGATGATGGTGAGGACAATGGTATTGATGGTGACGATGATGAAGAAGATGCGGATGATGATGATGATGATGATGATGATGATGATGATGATGATGATGATGATGATGATGATGATGATGATGATGATGATGATGATGATGATGATGGAGAGGAGCAGGACGGTACTGTGAATGCCACAACTGATTACTGTTGAGGATTCTCACTATGGTAGGAGGAGGAATAGTAGTGGGGAGAGGAGTGCAGGGATGAGAATGGTATTGACGGTGATGACACTCTGCATTTCCTGACATTGACTACAATGATCGTCCGGATGATGCTGAAATTATTGTAGTTGGTCTCCGATATTCAGAAATCTGTACCACTTAGATGGATACCTGAAGCTTGCTAGAGACCGATTTTATTATGAATACACATTTATCATGAATCAAGATGTGGTAACTGAATCCGGAAATGGTTGTAGTTGTGGCTCAATATACGGAGTCCCTTCTCGTACACTGTTCTCTTTCAATCCGCAGACGATTACGGACTGAGTGTGTAGGTATATAACTTTTCGAAGTAATTCACTCTTTAATTTATCATCATTATCTCCACCGCCTATCTGTACACAATGAAATTTAATCTGAAGGGTAGTGCGATTTCCACCGTTTACGTAAAACTTTCTACTCAGTATGGTGGTTCCTTTTTAAAACGATCATCTAGATGATTGATCGGTTTGTCCTCCTATTCAGGCAATTGCTTCCAGAAAGTTTTCGATCTTCTTAATCGCATAAAGGCCCATTCATTTCCACCCATTTCTGGGCTCTAATGATATTGCTCCAGTTGTCCAAGACGAATTAAACATACTGAAACAAAATGATGCATAAAGAAAACTACTCATAAGGTTATTGAAAACTCTTCGACAGTCCACAACCGGTTTCGCCCTTCTTGGAGGATCATCAGGTAGGCACAGTTCCCGAGTTTCCGTCAACCGTTTGATCTGCTTGAATCCAAATTACACGAATTGCGACAAATGCGCTCATTTCTAAATCACTGCGTTATTACTGGAGACTCAAATAAATCTCTCGTTTATATCCTTCAATTAAATGTGCTGCACGGACTTTCCAGCAAACTTGTGAGTAGTTTCCTTGAGGAAAATATTCTAAGGTACCTTGAATATCGTACCAACTGTAACACGAAGTGGCCTGCATGCATCACATTCAGTTGAAGAGCATCATAAACGAGAGATTCACCTGAGTCTCTCGTGAAAACCAAATTGATTTGCAATTGAATGTATTTGTCAAAATGATGCATACTTTTGGCGTAATGAATGACAGGGAGCATTGCAACTTTTTACTTTATCTGAATTACTGATTTGTTTTGAGTTCAGAGCAGTCAGGTCGAACCGGTAAATTTGTAAAAACTCGGTCGGTCTCACTTTGGACATTTTCTCAATGCAAATAGCATCGCAATATGCGAATGGTGCGCCACCTTGTTCCAAGTTTTCGCGCTAATTACCAGGCTAACAAGTTTTGTGTGGAGAAACATACCTAATAAATGCCAAGCAATGTTGGAGCTGTATGTATTCATCCGACAGAACTATTCGAGCGGTTAATATTATCAACACCGCAGCAGGTCAATCGCTGCCAAAGCAAGTCGGATACACGTGTCCTTCTGATGTCAATTTGTTTGGTCAAACCTGACTCCTCAGGATGCTGAATATGTTGGTATAATTCAAAATGGAACCAATGGGATTGTTCTTTTTTGAACTGAAGTCATTGTAGTTGGAGGTGCTGTTCTTTCTAGCACACAGTGGTCTCTCTTTAGAGAAAAAAATCAACCAAAATAGTTACAAAAACGCCGCGTCAAAACAAGTGATTTCTTGGGTAATGCAATCTAGGTGTCGGTTTTGTCCTTGTAAAGTATAGTTTGTTTGTGCAAACTGTTCCGTGGAATGAAGATGAAACAGCTTCTGAAAGAACAACTAGGTGAGGTAGGTATCTCGTTCTATCGGACGTCTTCGAACTTGGTTTGGAGCTGGTAGTTACTGCAGTCTTTTCAATTTAAAATTGCCAACATATAGACCTGCAAGTGTCAACGATGCTCACGTAAGTCGTGTATTCTCGGGCCGCTCACCGGTCGTCCTGATTTCCACTTTATTGTGGTCAACTCTTTTTGGCTCCTGTGATGCAGTGTTGACTTAACGGACTGTGAAGTGCTATTCTGGCGCGTTCCTAGCTGGGACTCACCTCACGTGTCTAGAAACCCTGCATGTCAGGACGCGTGAAAGATCCCAGTGATCCCATTATCCTATCACTTCCAGGCAGGATTACCCAACTAAATTTTATCTCAGTTGCTGGTTGTTGCGGGATTTTTTAGAGCACATACTCACATGACTCTCACTCGAACAGTCGTCCTCCTGTCCTCATACTGGTGAGTACACACCGAAGGAGTGGAAGCACTGGACTCGGGTTTCTCTCTCATTAGAACTCATCGGCAGTACACATCCAATAACCTTGCCGGGGTTTGAACTCCGCACTTCTGATGTGCAGGACGAGCTTATTACAACTGCTCCACCAGCACACGTCTGAAAAGGTGCACATGTTCACGCTTGAGTGATGTGAGCGTAACACCCGATGGCTTGGACGACGACCCAGTAACGTATCTTGGTTTTATCGGTCGAGTGGCCCGCCAGTCAGGACTTCCCGGTCAGGTAGCGCCACAAACGCTTGGAATCTGCTGGACACATCTTGTTTCAGGAGTTGTTGGTTGCGAGGTTTTGTAGAATACAGACAAGCATGACTCTTGTTTGGACAATCGTCGTCCTCTTCTCGTGTGATCATTTATCACCTGGAACTTGCATTGTGTTGGATAAAGAAGATAATCCTTCTGAGAGCCCCCTGTTCCTTCATGTTGCTTATAGTTGTTTATTTTATAGCTGTTTGAGGGTACAGACAGTTGATACTTGATCGATTAGCTTAGAGACGTAGCCCTTCCTTTTCCTTTGTTTCTATATTACGCCTTCCTCGTGGCAGTTGAACATTTACCGCTGGTGTCTAGTTTTCAGTGTTGCTGTTGATGATGATAACGGTGAGATGAGATGAGGATGGTGGCTTTACCTCTTTCGCTTTAGGTCTTTATAGTTTCTCAGATAATTGTGTGCTGTTCGTATAGCCTAGTTTTATGAAGCTTGGATGGACGATTAATATTTGTGATCTCAAACGCCATAAATCAGCTGAAGTGCATAGTGAAATGATCTGTTTTATCTCGTAAAAAGCCCCAAGCAGAGCTCATAAATTATGCCATGTCCATGCTTACGTTAGGCATCCTGGATTCACACTTGGTAATTTGACAGTAGTGCATATTCTTACCATTTTGGGTATCATGTAACATGAAAAACTGTCTACTACACGTTACACACACTTGATCTGACAGATGTGCACTGATGCTTCACGGACCACCCACATTTGTCCAGCCTGTCTGTCTACTGTCGGAGTAGATAGCGGTTATTTACATTACCTGCGAAATGGATACCATACATATATCGATCATCCTGTCAATTGTACAAAGTTGACACTTGTGTACAAACAAGGTTGCGCTGGATTTGGTAACCCCATAAGCTTGGGCACTAATGATGTGCATGTGCAACGACCGAACTCAGAGAGCCAGCAGCAACACGTCAAGATGTCCAACCGCACATGGACAGTTGACAGTTGATCTGTCATTTTCACATGGTCATCTAGCTAGTTGTCTGTGACCTCGGTCCGGATGACTGGGACGGCGGACCTCTAAATAGTGTTTGCGCACGTACCGCTTGACGAACACAGAATAAACCAGTCGGTTAGTGATTTGTAACCGTGAGAATTAGGTGCAATCGGAGTGTAATTGAGCCGACGTCAGTCTGTTCGGTGATTCCGAATGCACATAGGGTCGCATACTAGGCACTTGCAAATAGTAGAGGAAGGAAGCACATTGAACCAGTCACTTAACCAGACACCAACAACTAGAAATACTTCACGATTTTATTGGGGAGAGAATGTTTCATAGGACTATTATTGTAAACTCGTAGAAAATAGTATACTATGTGGGCCAGAGCCTTTGCTCCGTGTTCGATACAATTTAGACCGTTGGCACAGCACCGTTAAAATATTATTCGACTACTACAGCCAAACTGGGTGCACATTGTGTCAGGCATTCCTTCCAAAAAGCTGTCAGCGCAAGACCTGTAAAGTCTTGCAACGTTTTTAAACCAGCCGTGCTGTGCAAAAGCCAATTAACCGTCTGACTGACGTATCTGTCTATGATTTAAGTATTTTCCTTGGTGCCATGCTAATTACAAGGTTGATAATATCTCTCCGGCAGCCCACAACTCAGTTTACTCTGTTGGTAGCTTTTTTTCTACGCGTAGCCATCTGAAAGTTCACCAACTCTATTTAATCAAGGTAGATGTATGTGGAGCTAAAAGTCAAGAAGATAGATTTAAACTAGGACACAGGAAACATCGCGAACGGTAAAGTAATTAGACTCTCATACGAGTTTCACCTCGGTTCTCAAAAGAATTCAAACTTCCAAGTATTCTTTTTTCATTTACTATTCACTCTGTTGCTGTTAACTCGATGGTGATGTTTGTATTTCCGTTGGTCTTCATTTAAAGGCACATAAATCCATTATTTTCATGAAGTACACGAACTCAAAGCCTCGCCATTATATATCCAACCACCAAGTCATGATAGCTTAATAGATTTGACGTCACAGAAAATCGCCTTGCTATGGTTCGATTCCAAACAAGGTAGGCACTGACGGGCCCTGAGTTGTGGCTGGATGGAATTTCGTGGAAGAATGCGGTTTCGTCTCGTGAGACAACAATGATATGAATCGCTTCAGCTTTCATTATGCTATCATTTGTTGGTAGTTATTTTGACAGAAAATCGAAGTAAATAATAACTAACTACCGAAGTGACGGTAAAATTGTTTCTAGTTATGCTGTTGTCCTTCTAATGAAAGTCTTCTTCCAATATGGCGTAATATATTAGATGAATCTCAACGGGATTGCAGAGTTCGTCCTCCAGTCTGTCACCGGCTAATGAGGCAATCAGTATGTTGTATTACCATCTACTTTCATGCACCGACTGAACACTAGTTGGGTGGTCACCAGTTCTGCCCCGGAAGACGTTTGTGAGGCCTGCTAAATACCTATACGACGCTTTCCGGCTCCTTAGCACAGAATGAGTCCACTTGTTATAAGAGAGAACGTTTGACTGCTTTTAGTTTTCTTTTCATCGTTATACTCCGAAGATCACCGTCATTAACAAGTGTGAGATATCTTTCTCAGTTGTTTATTCCTGAGAAGTTGTTATTGCACGAACTGACCTTCCCGATCCGTCATTCACGCGCATTAGGACTGATCATAGACTGACCACTGTTGATCAGGTGTGAACTTATTTCAAAATGTATTAACTAGACAGATGCTCCAGCACGTCCATTCAAGGTCATGCACCTGGAGTTTCAGTTACCTTCCCTACCACTTCTGTTATCCGATTGTCTATGTACATCAGCTCGCCCCTTGTAACTTCTGACTGGTTACCAATTACCGGTACTGGCAGCAATCTGTGGTAGTTGACAATCGTACAATTTACTGGGCTGCGTTGGACTTGCTGAGTTTCCATCAATTCCGGAGTCTTTTATTAATCTCCAAGGTCTTCATCATAACTTTTGCAAGTTGAGATAGGATGCATTACGGCGGTTCTGGGTTACGGGCATTTTGTTGCCAACCCTGCCACGCTATTTGCTTCCGCTGTATTGCAATGGGGTCGGGAGGTCCCAGAAAATTCCCATGGCTTGCCGAAATCTATCCAGTTTTGATCCAGATAGAACATAAGGTTGACGGAAACTAGGGGCTGCGGTTACATTCCCATGGCTTGCCGAAATCTATCCAGTTTTGATCCAGATAGAACATAAGGTTGACGGAAACTAGGGGACTGCGGTTACCTAATGAGCTCCACGAAAGGAGAAACGGGTTGTTATATGTCGAATAGTTTTTAGCATTCTCTGTGTAAAGTTTAGACAATTTATTGTGATATCTCGAATAGTGTAGCACATGAAACATGTGGTGATTCGGTGCAGCACCTTCAGCTCAAACGGACCATTATAAACAGTAGATTCAGTTGAATCTCCTGCCGAAACCGAATTCGCGTTCAACTGTGAGTTCTTTCGAAACATGTGCGCATCATCTACCTGAAAAACCCACTACGCAGCTGAATGAATGGTACGATGGGCTCTGCTGCTCACCTAACACGTGACCGTGACGCTTGGAGAAGTCCATTCGAGGTCGAATGAATTTTTTTCGAAACGCACTCTGATCTGACGATTCACCTTGCGATAGTTTGGGGTCCGGTCAGGCCTCCGAGAAATACCATGGGGGCGTCTAGTGAGAATAGCACTCCCGTCGCCGCTGACATGGGAAAAACGATCAATGTATTTCCGGTAAAGAGTACTTCCATTCAAGACGGCCCACATTATGAGGTTCGGAATGAACGATCACTCCGACAAAATCCATCTAATGAAAAACGAATTATTTTCAAGCGTGAAAAATCCCTTACGTATGGTCCGTCAAATCGCACTAACACGTTAGCAACGTGGATTCATTCACCTAAAATTTACAAGTAGAGGTGAATGATGGAGAATAAGTTCATTAAAACTGCACTAATTGGCAACTCAGTGTCCTTCTGAATATGTAATTTCATTGAGTTGGGTAATTATATCTTCCCCATTCTCATGAGGGTTTCGAGAAGTCTACGGGGACTTCTAAATGTATCCCCTTAAATGAAAGACAAGTGCTATTTATAGCCAACGAAGATAGAGCTAGAATATATGACCCAAAGGAGGACAAAAACGAAGGCGCTCGATGCCTTTTAGGAAGTTATTCCATCAGACAATCTCACGGAACTTTTTCCTAATTGGAAGCCATTTAAGTGAGGCAATGAACAAATGTGCATCTCTGTACCTCATCCAGATCGGCTATCATTCCTTGGGTCAGTTTACTCCAGCTGAGAGCGAACCCTCACGAAAACAAGAGTCCACTGGTTCTAGCCCCTCTTCAGGTGTTCATGGTTTCCCCTGTGCAGTGCGTAGATCCGCTTCTAAGCCCAGTTTTTTCCACAAGGCCAGTCGAAAAAACATGGTTGACTGGCACTCAACCAGCCTTGACACGCTGCGTTCTTCACGCTTAAATTTAGTCCACAAGCCATCCAAACAGGACAAGAATAACTCCACAGGGGTCAAAACAAACCGGCTCGTCCAACCGTGAAAGCAGCTGGCACATGACATTATGGTGCTCCTTACTCAATGGATGTATATTTTTGTCGTTTTGCGCAGTCAAGATCGTGTAGCGAACCCAGACACCGCCTATTTGTGATACTCTGGCCTCGCTCCACCAGCGACCCCGTGGAGTGAAACCGACCGGCGCAAAAAATAAGACAGCGAAACTCTTGTGCAGCTTAGTGAAAGGATTAGTTTGCACACGGTTAAGTATGTTCACTCACAAAGACCAGTCCGTCCGACTAATCGGGCCACAGTCGACTAAGCTGTGACATTTCCGATGACTGAGGAGAAAAACGATTATAAGCTTCCTTTCGTATACTCCGAGCAGTCGCGCTTTTTGTGACCCCCGACAGGGTGCACAAACTGTTGCAATGCGGCCTTCATCATAGGAACAGGCTTGCAAAGCACACAGCATGCAGTCGGTGAGACGGAATGACTGACAGTTTTAGCGGCACATCTGTGTGT